CCACTTCTTAAGCACCACTCTTAGATTTGCCAGTTACAAAAGATACTAGAGATGCTAAAGCAGAGCGCCGGTTAGCTATGACAACACTTGTTGAAAATGTATGGAAGAACCAAAGCCGATTTCCAACCTCACCTGACATCTATTGCTTGTCTTGGGGCTTGGTATACAAGGGATCGGAATCCTCATGCAAGTCTTGAAGGTAAAATTCTCAAGAATTTTGGTTTCCTTCTCTCCTTCCTTTGGCACCAAAAAAGAAAAATAAAGATTGAGATGATTTCCTGAGAGGCAGAGGGAGAGGTACATTACCCATGACCCCACTATTCTAATTCAAAGGAATGATCACACATTGTGGAAGCGAGGGAGAGGTACATTACCCATGACCCCACTATTCGCCTACACTTTGTCTAAAAAAAAAAGAAAAAAAAAGATCAATAAGATGAACATTAGTTGTTCATTGGGATTGATATAAAAGAAAAATAAAATTTGGGATTCAGAGAAGGGAGATAAAAGAGAGAAAAGGAACCAAAATGAGAATGCCTGAAACTTGGTTGAGTTGAATCCAAGTGTTCATTGATCGATATTCCCAAGGTAAAGCCTACACCTTTATTTATGCATAAATGAGATCGGTAGAGGGGATAGACAAACATGATCATTGAGTTGTTGGCTAGTTGAATTTGGTTGCTAAGCTAGGATATGGTATAATGTATTTCTGAGATTGATAGATATTTGAAGTGGATTGCAATAAATAAAGAGGTGATGGTTCTGAGTTTTGAATTATAGGAGCTTCCGCCTTTCAAACCTTTTCTAGACCAATGTTCTATTATTTGCTTGAGGACAAGCAAAATGATAAGTCTGGGGGAGTTGATATATCATGGATTTTACCCACTTTTAACCATGATTTATATATGTTTTTGGAAACAAAAGGATACTTTTAGTGTCTTTTTAGAGCTTTTACAGGTTCAGGTACTTACTGGTGTAAAATGGCCATTTTGGAGCTAAAATAGAGACTTTATGAAAATATGAGCAAAACGTGTTGAAGACATCGACCGATGCGCATTAAGAGCAATCGACCGATGAAAGATCATCCAAATCGATCGATAGAAGACATTCTATATCGATCGATACAGAAGTCCTCCAAAGCAATTAAATGAAGATTAGAAGTCCTAATTGCTTCACAAGAGTTTTAATAATTTATACTTTAAATCCCTGGCCGCCTGTTAGGCTATTTTAAGAGAGTTTTGTACTAGATTAAGCAGACTTCTCCAGAGACCTTTGAGACCTAATTTTAGAGAAGCGTCTAGCCATACTTTGAAGAAGAGCTTAGGAGTTGGGAGAGAGAGAGAGAGATCTGAACTACAATTCAGAGAAGATCTTGAACTCCCTTGCTTTACTTGTTGTTTCTCTTATTATTATTATTATTATTATTATTATTATTATTATTATTATTATTATTATTATTATTATTATTATTATTATTATTATTATTATTATCTTAAAGCATTATTCAAACCATTATGACTTTGTCTCTCATAAATATGTTTGAGTAGTCTCTCTTGTTAGATTTAGGTTTCTCATTAGGTTTGACTCATGCATTGAAGTAACCATCATTAGGGTGTTTAAAATATAGTTCTAAAATCTAGTCATTATAAATACTAATGTTAAGGATTGATCACCCTTACCTCTGATTTTAGGATTAATTTGGATAAGTGAGAACTTAGCAATTACCTAGAATCTAAGTTTTTTATTGAAGACTAGAGAACCCTTTCAAACCAATCATTAGAACTCGCTGGTGCAATATCGATCGACGAGATAACCTTCCTATCGACCGATATAGCATAAAAACGAGCGATCGATATTTATATCGAACTATCGATCGATATTTTCTCAAGGTCATCGAACGATAGTTCTTGCCCCGAGATCCAGTAAGAGTTAACACTTCAAATCCTTAAGAGTTTGAATCCAGAACTATGAATGATAAAAACCCTTTATAACTTGCATGCTTGTCATACCTGAGAAAATACCTAAGTTTAACTACCTTCTTTTCTCTTAACAAACAAATCAATCAATCAAGCAAATTGCTTGGTTACCTTTTAAGTTATTGTTTAAAACTTGCTANAATCCAGAACTATGAATGATAAAAACCCTTTATAACTTGCATGCTTGTCATACCTGAGAAAATACCTAAGTTTAACTACCTTCTTTTCTCTTAACAAACAAATCAATCAATCAAGCAAATTGCTTGGTTACCTTTTAAGTTATTGTTTAAAACTTGCTATCTAGCTTTACTTCGAAAACTAAATAATCTGTTGTGTAATTCTATAGTCTCTGTGGATTCGATCCTTAAGTACTACGAGTGAACCTCTTTTGATGAGAGTAACTCACTCCTAGGGTAATTTGAGTGATATCATCTATTAAGTTCGAGATGAGCGATCTCGGGAAGTTATCTTATTATCTTGGAATATAAATTCATCAACATGAGGAAGGTATTACACTAAACCAGAAGCGTTATGCCTTGAGGATCTTAGAGGAAGCTGGTATAAAGAGTTGCAACTCGTGTCACATACCAATGGAAGCAGGACTCAAGCTCTCAAAGGCAGTAACAGAAGATAAGATTGATGCTACTAGCTACCGAAGAAACATCGGTTGTTTGCGCTATTTTCTTCACTTTCAACCAGACTTATCATACTGCGTTGGTTTCTTAAGTAGATATATGCAGAAGCCGAAAGAATCACATGGAGTAGCAATGAAACAATGTCTGAGATACCTACAGGGAACTACAGCTTTTGGGATCACATTTTCTCAAACAAACTCGAAGGAGATAAAGCTAATAGATACAGTGATAGAAGTCACAATGTTGATCCGGATGATGGGAGGAGTACCACAAGACATATATTCTACGTTGGTAATAGTCCCATCACTTGGTGCTCACAGAAGCAAGAAACAGTCACCTTGTCATCATGTGAAGCTGAGTTTATGGCTGGGACAGAAGCAGGACGAGAAGCTGTATGGTTGGAGGATTTGCTCACTGAGATCATGGGGTATGAGAGTAAACGAGTAGTGATCAAGATTGATAATCAATCAGCAATTTATTTAACCAAGAATCCGGTGTTTCATGGACGAAGTAAACATATCCATACTCGATTTCACTTCATAAGGGAATGTGTAGTGAAGGAGCAGATTGAGGTCGAGCTTATCCACCGTTGTGTTTTGCGTTTTGGGAATAGGTAAGAACTTTGAGTGATAGCTTTCCTTGAGTATCTTTTGTTCTTGGAGATAAGTTGCAAAACAGGTCATTCTTGTGGTTATAAAACTACCTTCACCAGCTAAGAAACAATCGGTAGTAAATTTCACATGAAATTATCTTAAATTTTTCATACTCTCCATTGTTCATATAAGTGCCTCTATTTCTGAATGATGGGGTAAAAGGCTGATTCTCGTGTTTTGAGCTCCCATAAAACCATCAAAACCTTTTAACATACTATACCATCCTTGTCCCGGAATCCTTTCTTTCCCTAAACCATTCGTAAAACACTATCTTCCTGGAATGTCTGGTAAAATTTCCATCTCCCTCTCACTATATAGACTCGCTTGTTGAATTAGACATACATGTGCCTTTTCCCATACAATTGATTCAGTTTACGAAAGTCGTAATGTATCTCGAGGATCAATAACTATGTTTCTGAATCCCATTTAATTCCGTCATTTCCAAATGTATCATAAAATCCAAGCGACTTGATAGTTTTCAATTTTCAGGACCACTCTCCAATATAAATGATCCATATTTACAAAAATGGATGAGGTTGGAAAAATATATGGGTTCGACGGTATCTGTGAGAGAGTCCATACTTGAACAGCCGAAAGACATTCCAAAAAAACATGATTGATCGATTCCTCTACTGCTCCACATTGTGCACACTGATTATCGCATTGGATCCCCTTTTGTCCGCAAATATTTTTTTATCGATAGACATCTTGATACTTTTTTCATAAGAAATGTTTCATCTTCGATGGGCAACATACTTTCCAAGCATGTGCCTTCAGGGAGGTGACATCTGGTACATTTAACGGACTTGGTTTTCTTTACCAGTATCTCTCCACAAGATAACCAGATTTTATCATGTATTTCCCATTTTTTTTGTAAAGTGTCAACCATCTCGGTCTATTGAAAAGTTCTGACTTAGTGGGATACTTTCGATGATTTTCGCGTCATTGGGATCCACTACTTCTCGGATTACCTGAGAATTCCATGTTTTTAATATTGTGTTAATGAGAGAGTTACTGTAAGATGAGAAAGTAAGTTTTGTTGATTACTGTTTGTTAGTCTCGAGCGAATGGTTGGGAACCAGGGATTATTCTATACTAAAATAGATGATTCTAATCTATTCATTTTGATTTCTCATTTCTAACCAGAAATCGAGCTGAGATAATACTCCTCCATCCACATGATATTTCCATCCACATGATATTTCCATCCACATGATATTGGGTATGATCTAATCAATTCTAGAGTGATGCATCCGAGAAATATCATCTTTTATTTTTCTATCAATCGCCAATTTTTTTTTTCTCAACTAACCGTATTAAAATCTATCAGATCTTTAAAAGTGAGGTCTCCAACTTCATTTTGCTTTTTCTACTATAACAATTATACTTTTATCCAAACCGTTCTTTTACATGTAATAATTCAATATGCAAACAAAAATATAAACATAGAAAAATATGATGAAAAAACTAGTTAAGAAGTGTAAGAAAACCAGTACATCACACCAACCTGATACATGAACGCTGAATAAACTATTCTGACTTCTTCGACGCTAACATATTTCTTAAAGTTTTTATTCTTCCATCAAACATAAAATTCAAATTTTCCCTTTCTCAGAAAAAAACATAAAATTCAAATTACATATGACTACAAAAGGTCAAACCTCTTAACGAAAACATAATAACCAAACTTCCATAATAATATTATTGAGGTTCTTGTCAATTACTTAAAGACGAGGTCAACCAAGTGGGTAAGAAGGATGCATGGCCAAACCACACATTCCTTCGGGTGCATTCACGTCTCTCTTGATCCTCATGTAGCCAGCTTCTCCCCAAGTTTCCCCCCATGAATTCTTCACCACCCAATACTTAGTTCCGTCTTCAATCATTCCGTATCCAACGATCGTGACCGCATGATGCAAATTCGTCCCACACTCTCCATCGAATATCCCATCCGAGTAGTGCCTAAACGCAGCCCCAGACGCTTCTATCCTCACAGAAACAGGCTGTTGGGACACAGCTTGTAGCAACGCTTCCTCGTTATTCATCGGAACTGTCTCATATCCACTGATCGTCGCAGCAACGAAATCAGCTGATTGAGTTGTGGCAAGACAGGTTTGCTGTGTTCTTTGGTATGGGTAGTTTTGCTCTGTGGTAATGCCTTGGTTTTTGATGTACTCGTAAGCATTCATCGATAGCCCTCCGTCACACCCATTATTGTACTCTCTGTCGCAGTCTATTAGTTGTTGTTCTGCTAGTGATAGAAGCTTGCCCGTCTTAATCTTTGTTACACCTTCAACAGCCGCTACGGCCGCAAACGCCCAACAAGCTCCTATTACATTTTTAACAATTATCTTGGTTTTTTTGTAACACATAACAGTTATCTTGGTTATTTAGCGATCTCGATATTATATATACGTGTCTTACAAAACTTTTTACTTTTTATTACTCCTTTTCAAACCACTTGTTAATAAAAAGTTATTCAAATTGAAGTAATAACATTTGTGAAAGTAACAGTCTTTTAAGAAGACACGATATATGACGTTTAAAAATCCAAAGAAAAAAAAAAGTAAAAAACAGCACGAAATTGCTAAAACTGTCTGTATGATTAAGCGATGTTGCACATCAATATGCTCTTATAGATTTTTTTGCAGAAAATGAATGATTAATGCCGGTATGCATGTTGTCCAAAAAAAAAAAAAAAAAAAAAAAAAAAAATGCTGGTATGCATTTTGACACACTACAGAAACCTCCATAAAGTAAAAATATTAGGGCTACGCCAAAACTATAATTTTTTTTTATTAATTTATAGAGATTATCAATTTATCTTTATACTAACTGAACCAAAAATTCAATTTGAGACTAAAATTATATTATTTTATAGAGATTTTTAGTGTATATTAATTTATAGAGTATTAATTTAAAGAGGTTATATTGTATTTAAATATTTTTCCCCATTGGAATGGAATATATTTATGGAAAGCTTATTTATTAACATTGAAGGTTGAAATAAAATTTGGGGTGCTTTTTTAAAAAAAAAAAGGAATAGGGTTTCTTACTAGAAAAAGTAAAGTAGTATAAATTTTTTAACAAGCATAGTTGATTAATTACCGCAAGTGTCTTGATCCTTAACAGATGTAACGGCCCCCTCGTCTCTCCAATTCTTGCTCTCGTCGGCATCACTAACATTCTCATATTTAAACGGTAGCATTTTGCCGGACTCGGATTTTGAAAATCCATTTATACCCTGGGGAACAACTAGTCCCGTGTAGGCTGCTCGAAACTCCTCATCTGTGAGATCAGAGAACTTGTTGACATCCATCTTGTATGTTGCGTTCTTATTTATGTTGAAGTTCTGGACGAGCTCCAAGTTCTTCTTAAAGATCTCGAACCTGTTCCTTTTTTCGGATTCACCAGTGTAAACACGATGGAATCGAGCCATCCATTTCTCATGTTTTACCTTGGCAGCAGCTTCAAAGAGACCCACACGAGATGTGGCTCCTGAAGTTGTGGAACCCAAAATAATAGATAGAAATAAGAAAGTAGAAGAGAGCATGCCATAAGAGAAAATGTATGACATGTTTGAGAAAGTTTTAGGGTTTATATGACTTAATTGGTTGCCAAGAAACGGGTGTGAGAAGGTGCCTTTTATAGAGATTAGAAACTGTGAAGTATATGGTGACATTTATTCTGTTTGAATATTCTAACGCGGCAAGACCCAATTGCATGGTTCGTATGAATTCAGTTGGCCAATTTCTACGTGCTCAAAGTCAACTAGTCAAGTAAATGGCTAATATCATCAGAAAAAGTAACAAAAATGTGGAGATGGATTAAGTAAATAAAATGTCTGAGACTAGACGAATTAAACGAACCAAATTGGCAGAACAAAACCCGAACCAACGATTAGCAATTTAAGCTTGGATTCCTTTAAAGCTAAAAGCGATTCTAGAGGGATTGTCTGTTTAGTTTGATTTGATATGTTAAACCTGTAATTTTATAAATATCAACTGTATATCCAAATTTCTTATACAAACTTTTTTCTTCTGAAATTATTAATTAACATGGTTGTGATGAGTGGGTAGATTAAAGATATATTAAAATATAGGGAAAATTTGGAGTAATACATTTATATAAGATTTTAATTTGAAAACTACATCAGTATTTTTTTTTTTTTGAAAAAAAACACTTATGTAGATGTGAGTTTACTAAATTATCCTATTTAAATATTTATTATTCTAATCAGTTTAAAATTACCAGTTTCAACAAGAATATGATTATTTAAAATAACATAACCAATGGCGATCATTCGAAGTGGATCCAAACTATGCATCATAGTCGATGACTTAGTCGGGTTGCAGTGTCGAAAGCTTTGCATCTTGTTTTTGAGTTGGCGATCTATTAACTACATGAACTGGACTAACCCATCTACTATCTGAAATCGCATAGATTACACCAGCTTCTAAAAGTTTCATTATCTCTTTCTTAACAACATCTTTTAGATTTGGGTTCAACCGCCTCTGATGCTCTATAGAAGTCATGGATTCATCTTCGAGATGTATTCTATGCATACATAAATCAGGTGAAATACCGGGAATATCATCTAATGAATACCCTAAAGCTTTTCGATACTTCCTTAATTCACACAATAGTTTAGCAGTCTCTATGTTATTAAGCTCAGAGTTCACTATTACTGGATATGTGGAGTTAGGACCGAGAAACGCGTACCTGAGTCCCGCTGGAAGGGACTTTAATTCAATCTTTGGGGCCTTGATTTCGCTCCAAGAGTCATCGGGCAAGGTGGTCGGTTTATGATCTCGCTTAGGAGCAGCTGCTCCTGCGGGTGAAGTTGAAATGTTCTTCTCCCCCAGACTTAGAGAAGCGACCATCTTCTCAATGCTTTTGGCAGAATCAAGCTGTAACATCCCGAGTTGTGATATGTAGAAAGGCTTAAGAGAATTGATTTGGCTACCTATGTCACCAAAGTGCACTTACCTTTTCGGGAGCACATCCAGAGAGAACTCCAGAGTTAAGCGTGCTTGAGCTGGAGTAGTCAAAGGATGGGTGACCTATCGGGAAGTGATTTGCGATACCGTGTAAGTGAGGCCAAAGCACGNCACTTACCTTTTCGGGAGCACATCCAGAGAGAACTCCAGAGTTAAGCGTGCTTGAGCTGGAGTAGTCAAAGGATGGGTGACCTATCGGGAAGTGATTTGCGATACCGTGTAAGTGAGGCCAAAGCACGGGGAAAGGTCGGGTGGTGATTGCAGGGTCAGTAAACATGACTCTAGAGCCTTGGAAAATTAACGGACCGGCTGTTGGAACGGGATGGGGCCCACGGGCCGAGAGAGCGGGTGTGGGTGGCCCATTAGCCGTGGGCGGTCGGGGCGTTACACAAGCATCTTCGCGTAGCCATCTGCATCAACGTTGGAGGTGTTTTGATCGGATTCAGCACGGGTCAGGGCCACTTCCAAAGGGTCATCTGCTAGAATCTCCCCAATCATTCCTTCATGGGGTGTTAGAGCTTTGTTCTCATCCACTGCAAAGTTCTGACTATCCAGCATTGGTCGTTTGAGCAGTAGATCCATCTCGAAGTTCATCATAATATCTCCCAGTTGGAGATCGATTCTTCCATTGCGTACATCGATGATCGCACCAACCGTGCACAAGAAAGGTCTCCCCAGAATAAGCGGATCCTTGGGTTCATCTTCGAGCTCTAGAACAACGAAGTCGGCTGGAACAGTGGTGTTGCCAATTCTAACTTGTAAATCTTCAAGAATACCTACTGGGAGTTTGGCTGATCTATCCGCGAACACCAGTTGTATGGGGGTTTGCTTGAAGTCGGTTAGACCTAGACGTTTTGCAACTGAGTATGGCATGAGGTTTACGCTTGACCCGAGATCACATAGGGAGCAAGCGAACACTGATTTTCCAATCTGAACAGAGAGGACAAATTTTCCAGGATCGTCTAACTTCTTGATCGGTCTGTTCTGAAGAACTGCACTGCATTCCTTGGACATTAGCATCACGTCATTATCGGCGGAAATCTTGCCAGAAACTAAACCCTTCATAAGTGTGCGCATCGAAGGAATCATCTGAATTGCGTCCATAAGGGATAGCTTGACAGTCAAGTCTTCTAGCATCTTTTTGCACTTTGTCTCTTCGCAATCCTTGCGTGATTTCCTTGCAGGAACAGGGTAAGGAGCCTTCGGCGTATACACGCGAGTAGGAACAGGCTGTTCTTGTGTAGCAGGAGCTGCTGGTTTCGAGACAGTTGGCTGTTCTATGTCGTGTTCTTCGTAAGTGTCCTCGTGAACAGGGTGTTCACCCTCTTTCTGCTTCCCTCTTTCCTTTGCAGAGAGTTTCTTAGTGATCGGTCCTGGTAATTGTTTTCCGCTTCTTAACTCAACTGCATTGCAATCCTTAGGATTTTTGTCTGTCTTCCCAGGGAGTGTCCCTTGTTGTCTCTTAACAGCTTCAACGGTTTGGGCAATCTGAACATCCATCTTCCTTATGTGACTCGCTACAGCATCGTATTTGGAGTTTAATTCCGTGAACATGTTATCCATCTTAGTGTTGATCTTGTTGGTAACCTGGTTCAGAGCTTTCCCTTGAATATGCTGACCTTGCAAGAGTTGTTGCATCATCCCCTTTAGCTCATTTGGCTGACCGTTCGCGTTGGCTGGATTAGCTTGCGGATTGGTCTGTCGGTTCTGATAGTGGTTCTGAGCTTGGCTAAGGACAAACATTTTTCCATTCTGATTCTGTGCAAACGGTTTCTGATATCCGGAGTTCTGAGGCTGGTTTCCTTGAGACATGTCGTTTGGATTTTCTGAGTTGGACTTGTATGAGAAAAGGTACTGATTGTTCCTCACATTAGGATTTGGATGGAATTTCTTTATCTGCCATCCCTGACCATTAATATAGCTGGCCTCCAGTTGTTCTGTATCTAGTGTTCCTGCTTCAGTTGCTGTGTCAGCGGAAGTTGGATTAAGAGAAGCTTCCTCCAAGACATAGATTTGATTCTGGTTATGTTTGAGCAGCTGGTCCATCTTGGCGGCTATGTCATCAATCTTCTTGGTGTCCATGTTGTTCACCTTCTTGGAGCTGTCGATCTCTTCGTTTTTGTTTGACGCACTAGCGGCCATACTTTCTATCAAAGCATTCGCTCCTTCAGTAGTTTGAGTCATGAAATCTCCATTACTAGCAGCGTTCAAAGCATTACGGAACTCCCATGCAACCCCATCGTAGAAGATTCCAAGAACGTGATCATCATCGAAACTGTGATGCGGGCAGTCACGGAGGATGTCGTTGAAACGCTCCCATGCTTCATTAAATGGCTCACTAGAGAGCTGCTTGAAAGATGTGATCTTGTTTCTCAACGCAGCTGTTTTTGCTTGATGTAGAAGTGATCTAGAAAGGCCGCTCTGACTTGTTCCCACAAAGTGAGGGAACCTGTTGGCAAAGATTTGAGCCATCTTGAAGCCTTATCTGCTAAAGAGAATGGGAACAACATGCACTTGATGAAATCTGGTGGCACGCCGTTTGCACAAGTGAAACCACAAATCTCTTCAAAAGCTTCAATGTGTTCCATTGGTATTTCAGCTTGTAACCCATGGAACATCTTTCTATGGACTAGATTGATCATGCCAGGTTTGATTTCGAAGTCCGCTCTTTGGCATGCTGGTGGAGCGATAGCAGAACGCGTTGCAGGAATGTTACGCGGTAGGTTTCGTTCTCCAATCGGAACAGGTTGTTCCACACGTCCTGCATGTTGAGCAGCTAGTTGTTGTGCAGCCATTGCTTCCTGCATTTGTTGCATCTCTTGACGCATCTGTTGCATGGAGGCTGCTACTTGTTCTGGTGTACCGTAGTCGCCCATGTTGACGTTGTTCGGTCTTTGTTGTTGACGATTTGTTCTCTCTAACCTTGCGAGCTCCTGATTTGAAAGTGTGACTAACTCTCCTTGTGCGTTTCTCCGAGTATGTCTACTGGTCATGCACTTGGTTCATCAGCCTGCAATTAAGAGGGAAAACAAATTAAGAGTTTTAGACTAAATAAATAACCGAAAAATAAAGGTACAAATCTGGTCCCCGGCAACGGTGCCAAAACTTGATACACTAAAATTGGATCTTTGTCTACTGTCAAGTTAACAGTGTAATTGTAATATAATTAGATTCAATTCCAGAGGACTGGACTACACTTTATCTTTATGGGATCAAAATATAGCTAAAACAAAGAGGGGTTTTAAAGTAAAATAAATAACTTAAAAGACAAGTAACAAACGAAGGTTGTTTTCAAGAGGTTAAAGGCGCTAGTCTAGGGTTTCCTAACGGGATTGGAGTTCGCAAGCCGAGCTACTATTCAAGTTCAATATGCACAAGTCTAAACTCGGATCACTCTGTTTAAATCAACCCACTGTCGTGGTGTTGAATACCTTTGCAGACTTGCTTGATACCTAAACTGTCGTTTGGAACAAGACAAGACAGCAAGCTTTAGAGATCAAGTCCATAAGTTCACAGAACACCCTAGTATCTACTCTCGCTGACTAGGGATGTTAAGCTCATTCAATTCGTATCAGATTATCAATCAACGGTTAGCTAAA